TTTTTTTTTTTTTTTTTTTTTTTTTTTTGTACCAGGGATGAACCTGGGACCTTTTGCTTGCAAGGCAGGCTGTGAAACCAGTGCGCTAAATCCCCCGCCCCCTTCACCTCTTTGTCTGTCACCCTGTGGCCCAGTGTCTGACCCAACTAGTCTCATTTGTTATGTGCCTCTGACACCTCACCGCAGCTCTGTGGTTCTCTGACTCCGCCAAAGAAGGGGACTTCCCAGGCCTTTTGTGCAATGGACCCCACAGCTCCAAGAGGTCAGTGCCTAGTCACCCCACTGTAATTTACACCCCCAGGGTGGCTGGAAACAGGCTCCATTGGGATGGAGAAACGCTTCTTGGACTTTTGGGTTCCAAATGCAGAGGTACACGCTGCCCTTAGGCTCAGCTGGGCTGTCTGTGCGTGTTCAGACAGCTGGTGACTGTGCACACCAAGAGCAGGCCATCCACCCACAAACACCCACCCTACTTCCTCACTTCGCAGACCGGAAGATGAGGCCCAGAGAGGGGAAATGCTTCGGTCACAGTACCTCAGGACCTCCTGAGACCCCCAGAGAACTGATCTTCCCACTACCCTTCCACCCTAGCCCCAGTCGGGTACTCACAGTCCCTCCGGACTATTTCCCCACCGCCACGGCACCACAGAGCACAGCAGATGGTCAAGGAATGACTGGGCAGCTTCCCAGGCTACAGCCTGGCGCTTTGAGGCGTCAGGCGTTCACGGTCTACACTCGGGAACCATTAGCCCCAGGTGCCAACAGGCTTCATGCTAGTCAGGAAGAAACCACGGGAACCACATGAACAGGGGTCCAGCCTGGTCACTCAACCAGAATAGCAACTCCTGACAACTCCACAGGTTTTTACAGTTCCTGCCTTCCATCCTTTCACTCAGTCAGCACAGCACTTTCTATTTGCCAAGCCCCGTGTGCCAAGTGCTGAAGTTGCCTCAGAGATAAGAACACAGTCGGTAGGCAATCCCTACACTCCAGAAACTGGGGTGCCAAAGAACCGGCAATTAGATACGCTCTCACTTAAAGGAGCCCATGCCCGGAGGAGCGGGGCTCGGAAAAGTCCCTCTCGTTTTCACACGTCCTTTCTTGTTCGCGCTCTGTCCACAAAGAATGTTTTCACGCTTCACGGATGGAATCACCAAGTCTCAGAAAGACGGCGGTGAAGCACCTGGGACAAAACCCGGACTAGAACCCGCCAGACGCGCCTTCCACGTGGGGCTCGGGGGAAGGGTGGACCCCGCAGTCGTGGGGCCGCGAGGACCCAAACC